TTACTATGGGTGGTGGTTACGAAGATTCCCTGAAGATGGACCCTGACGTATGGGTATTATACCTAGGATTGTACAGGAAATCTTTAATACCATCAGTGAGAAAGAGAATTACAAATTCAAAGTAGCAGTTTCATATTTAGAGGTAAATTATCAGTGTTGAATTGTAAGATCTTACATTGTGTATTGCCTTTGAGGAAGAAACTTGCATGGTACAATGGTCCAAGTCCTAAATTGTTTCTTCAAACCAGTTATACTATTTGTTTTTTCTCACAGTAGTAATAGACCAAAAAACAAGGTCTGAAGTGACTGGCCTCGAATCACTTCACTTTATCAATTGTAGTTCAAATACTGCTAAGAGTTTGCATTGAATGTATTATTTGAAGTTAGGATGCTATCAAGCATAGAAGGTTTATACCTGTGCTTTGCCTGTTCCAAAGAAAAATATGAGAAGTCTTTTTTCCATCAGTTTAAGTCTTTATACAGTAATCTGTATGTAGACACACACAAAAAATCAAGGATAATTTGAAAAGTTATTAATTTAGCTTGTTTTTATATTCAGATCATTAATGAGGATTTGCAAGATCTGCTTGTCAACAACAAAAAAGAATCTTTAACAATAAGAGAAGAAAATGGAGTCATAAAGGTATGTGAAAATAATTTTATCGGCAATTAGTCATTTTGTGAAATTTACTCATTCCTAAGAAATGATAGTTTGGCTGCAAATGACTTTCACAGTATGATAGTATGTTATGGTATGATGAATTTTCACTTTGTGCTTAAAAAGTGTAAATACTGGATCTGTTGATATATTGGGGCTTTTCTACTCACACAGACATCAATGTAACACTGGTTAGTGTTTCACATGAAACTTTTTGAAGATATTTGTGTGTAACTTTACACACTTAATTACGAAAATATAAGATCAATGTCCAAGCCATGGATTTTGATAGAATTATTGCCCTTTTTGAACTTGTAAAATTCTTTGGAAAAATTTGCATGCAACATTACTCTTTAAAATTGCTTCACTCAATACATGTCTTCAGGACCATTATTTTAGGACACTGTCCAAGGTCCATAACTGACATGGATTTTTACAGAATTATGACCGTGTGTAAACTTAAAATATTCATGGTGCATCATCAGTCCTCATAATTACTGAAGGTATTCACTTAAAACTTAAAATATGGATTTTACATCATAATTAAAAGTCACTGTTTAAGGACCATAATTCTAGCATGGATTTTGAAATAATTATGGCTCTGAGTTGTACTTTGAAAAAATATTTGATAAAGTTTTGCACACAACATCACTCTTCAGTACTACTGTATACACGTCTTCAGAATCATAATTGGAAGTCACTTTCCAAGGCCTATAACTGACATAGATTATGACTGAATTATGACCCCATGTGAACATAGAAAAATCATGGTTCAGGCTTTCATGCAATATACAAAACTGCTGAAGATATTCACTTGAAACTTGATAAATTGTCTATGGGATTCATAATGTTTTTTATGATATGAAGCAAAACAAAACAAACAAAATAAACAAAACAACAAAACCTGAAAAAACAACAAAACTGTGTTATTCAAAGAAAACCATGTAATTTCCTACAAGTTAATAAATATATGGAAACAAGTTGAATGGAATTATAAAGAATAATGCTATATTTGTGTGATGTTTTCAGCTTCCTGGTTTACGAGAAGTACCAGTTAGCAATACTGAGGAGACAATGAAATTTTTAGAGCAAGGTTGTAACAACAGGACCACAGCTGCTACTGCCATGAATAACACATCCAGTAGATCACATGCCATCTTCTCTGTTTATATAGAACAACAACACGAGGAAGATATGTAAGTTTATGTCAGCTAAATGTCATATCATCCCTGTTAAATTCTGGTTTTATACTTACTTCCATTGTAATAATATTTTTATCTCAACATAAAAAACCATTTACAAGTGAGTTCTACAGCAGTATGTTCTGAAAAATCATTCAGGATTTATCCATGTGTAGATATAATTCTTACTCAGCATGGTTTTATGACTTGTATTCTACATATATCTATATTTATATTTTTTTCTGTTAGAAATGACTTCTGGAAGGTCAAATTGCAGCTGGTGGATTTAGCAGGGTCAGAGAGGGTCAAGAAAACACATGCAGAAGGCGCAAGACTTAAAGAAGGTACAACACTTTTTTACAAGTTTAATCTTTGGACACTAAATCCTGTATTATGTACCCAGATGTTCTCTTTTTCTACTAGATCTCTTGAATTAAGGTTGCCTTGCATTTTTTACTTGTAATTTTTTACTGTTTATTACTTTATGACATTGTCATATATTTGAGGCCAGATGAATGATGTAAATAATAAAACTACTCATTTTGATATTAAAAGTTGGTTCTAGTCAAGATCTAGTCATTATGATGATATAACAGATAAACAGTTATAAAACAGAACTATGGTTTAGTTGGTATTGAATTAGATAGACTTAAGTATTAAAACCTGCTTTCATTTGTCTAAAATGTGTGTAACATTGTGGTACAACAAAGATACTGTGATAAAATATTGATTTTTAGCTCGACTATTCGCAGAATAATCGAGCTAATGCAGTCACCCATTTGTCGGCGTCGGCGTCCCTGTGGTTAAGTTTTTGTATGTAAGCTGGTATCTCCATAACTACTGAAGGGAATGGATTGAAACTTCACACACTTGTTCTCTGTGATTATCTAAGATGATTGGCACAAGTCCCATAACTCTGATTTGCTTTTTTTCATAATTATGCCCCTTTTTTGACTTAGAAATTCTTGGTTAAGTTTTTGTATGTAAGCTGGTATCTCCATAACTACTGAAGGGAATGGATTGAAACTTCACACACTTGTTCTCTGTGATTATCTAAGATGATTGGCACAAGTCCCATAACTCTGATTTGCTTTTTTCATAAATATGCCCCTTTTTTCGACTTAGAAATTCTTGGTTAAGTTTTTGTATGTAAGCTGTTATCTCCATAACTACTGAAGGGAATTGATTGAAACTTCACACACTTGTTCTCTGTGATTATCTAAGATGATTGCCACAAGTCCCATAACTCTGATTTGCTTTTTTTCATAATTATGCCCCTTTTTCGACTTAGAAATTTTTTGGTTAAGTTTTTGTATGTAAGCTTTATCTCCATAACTACTGAAGGGAATTGATTGAAACTTCACACACTTGTTCTCTGTGATTATCTAAGATGATTGGCACAAGTCCCATAACTCTGATTTGCTTTTTTACATAATTATGCCCCTTTTTCGACTTAGAAATTCTTGGTTAAGTTTTTGCGTGTAAGCTGGTATCTCCATAACTACTGAAGGGAAAGGATTGAAACTTCACACACTTGTTCTCTGTGATTATCTAAGATAATTGCCACAAGTCCCATAACTCTGATTTGCTTTTTTACATAATTATGCCCCTTTTTCGACTTAGAAATTCTTGGTTAAGTTTTTGCATGTAAGCTGGTATCTCCATAACTACTGAAGGGAATGGATTGAAACTTCACACACTTGGTCTCTGTGATTATCTTAGATGATTGGTACAAGTCCCATAACTCTGATTTGCTTTTTTTGCATAATTATGCCCCTTTTTCGACTCATGAATTCTTGGTAAAGTTTTTGCATGTAAGCTTGTCTCTCCATAACTACTGAAGGGAATGTATTGAAACTTGAAGAGTGTACCTTTTCGGACAATTTTATGTATTCATATAGGTAAGCATTATTATACTCAATGAAACACCCTTGTGACAAATTTTCGAATAGTCGAGCGTTACTGTCCTCCGACAGTTCTTGTTATTACATGCTTTTCGGTGGTTTATAGAAATATATCAGTGATATAAAACTGGTAATTTCACTGTTTGAAACAGTGAAATTACCACTTTGATAATTTCACTGTTTTGAATTTAAGCCCCTTACGTTGTTTCAGTGAAATACCAGCGTGCACAGTACTGGGTACCAACTTAATGATGTGACGTCGTAAATGACGTCACGTTGTATTATTTTTTGGCGCGCTTTTCATTCAGTATTAGATTTAATGTCTTTTTAAAACGTTTATTTGCATATAATAAAAAGAAAATTTGTTTAGTTTAGTGTAAGATCGAAATATATTCACCTTGTGAACACCAAAAGTTCATATTTCACTCGTGGCTGCGCCACTCGTGAAATATACCTTTTGGTGCTCACTCGGTGAAATATATTCCATTCTTACACTGAACTAAACAAATATCCTCTATATAATACATTTTCAGCTGCAATACCAAACTTTAAGTCGAATAGTCCAAGATAATTTTAATTCAGAAAATGCCAACCTGTTTTCTGAAATCTTCTTTTACTGAAATAGCCCTATTATCCCTACTTTTTGTCCCCCGCCTTTTCGAAGAAAAAAGGGGGATATAGAAATAGGCTCCGTCCGTCCGTCCGTCTGTCCGTCCGTCCGTCACACTTTCGTGTCCGGTCCATAACTTTGTCATTTATGAAAGGAATTTGAAATAACTTGGCACAAATGTTTATTATAATAAGAGGATGTGTCATGCGCAACAACCAGACCCCTACCTCCAGGGTCAAGGTCGCACTTGCTCATTCAAGGTCAACATTGCCTATTTGAGGGTATATGTCGTGTCCGGTCCATAACTTTCTTATCTATGAAGGGATTTTGTAAATACTTGCCATAATTGTTCACAATAATCAGACGATGTGTCATGCGCAAAAACCAGTCACCTACCTTCAAGGTCAAGGTCACACTTGGAGGTCAAATATTAACATAGTCTGTTACAGGATATATTTCGTGTCCGGTCCATAACTTTGTCATTTATCAAAGGAATTTGAAATAACCATAACTTTGTCATTTATCAAAGGAATTTGAAATAACTTGGCACAAATGTTTGTTATAATAAGAGGATGTGTCATGCGCAACAACCAGATCCGTACCTTCAGGGTCAAGGTCGTACTTGCTCATTCAAGGTTAACATTGTCTATTTGAGGGTATATGTCGTGTCCGGTCCATAACTTTCTTATCTATGAAGGGATTTTGTAAATACTTGCCATAATTGTTCACAATAATCAGACGATGTGTCATGCGCAAAAAACGGTCACCTACCTCCAAGGTCAAGGTCACACTTGGAGGTCAAATACTTACATAGTCTGTTACAGGGTATATTTTGTGTCCGGTCCATAACTTTTTCATAGATCCAAGGATTTTGAAAATACTATGCACAAAAAGTCACTATAATAAGAGGATGTGTCATGCGCAACACCTGCATCCCTACCTCCAAGGTCAAGGTCACACTTAGAGGTCAAAAATTAACATAGTCTGTTATAGGGTATATTTTGTGTCAAATCTAGAACTTCTTCATAGTTCAAGGGATTTTAAAAAGAACTTGGCACAAATAGTCACCATAATAAGACAATATGTAAGGTACAACACCTGCACCCCTACATCCAAGGTCAAGGTCACACTTAGAGGTCAAAGGTTAACAGAGTCTGTTATTTGGTATATTTTTTGTCCCGTCCATTACTTCTTCATAGATTAAGGGATTTTGAAAATACTTGGGACAAATAGTCACAATGATTAGATGATATGTCATGCGTAACATCTGTGTCCCTACCTCCAAGGTCAAGGTCACACTTAGAGATCAAAGATTTACATAGTCTGTTATTATAAGGGTATATTTTGTGTCCAATCTATAACTTCTTCATAGTTCAAGGGATTTTGAAAATACTTGGCACAAATAGTCTCAATAATAAGACGTTATGTCATGCACAACACCTGCTCCCCTACCTCCAAGGTCAAGGTCACACTAAGAGGTCAAATCTTAACATGATAGATTTTTAAATTCCGTGTTTCATTTTATTTTGTTAACAAATTTATTGTTACATTTGCAGATCTAGCATTGATCATAATTTTGGAGTAAATGTCCTGAGATCCATTATAACCTCAATCTTTTGAAATAGCACAATTTTATGCTTCATATAAAATTTCCCGAGGCGGGGGACGTTGGTAACTCTGTTACAAATTCTTGTTTTTGAAGTAATGAAAAGATGAAAATTGATGCTTGAAAAAATATTACTTCAGTTGAATTTTCTGTTCCTTGTGATTAGTAATTATGGTTAAAGAAATAATTGTTTCATTTTGTCAGTTTTTTTTTCATCCAGGGCATGTTTTTCAAGTATGGACCAATATAAAAGTACACACAACCTGCCGCATTAGTATATTATGGTTATTTCAAACTAATATATAAAGAAAGTACCTTCTTAAAATCAAATATCCCTACTGTGCCCTACTTTGGGATAAAGTGACACTACTCTTTCCTTCTTTTTGTTGAAGAGACAGTTGAAATTGGATCTAGGCCTAACAAGGATGCTTTGATAAAGATATGATTAAAGATATCTTCATACAAACTTGTTTTCAATGTCTGTATTTCTCCCCCCCCCCCAATAAAAAAGAACAACCAATAGTAAATTGTGTCTTATTTTTGTAGGTATAAACATCAACAAAGGGCTATTAGCTCTAGGAAATGTTATAAGTATTCTTGGAGACGAGACAAAGAAGATATTACATGTACCATATAGAGACAGCAAACTTACCAGGATATTACAAGGTGGGTGTTTATATGTTTTAGTGTTTTACTTGTTATGAAACATTGAGAGAATTATTGCATGTGCAAAGTTTTTTGAAGAGAAAATTGCATTTGGTTTTCTGTATAAAGTGTATTGTTTCCAATTAGTTTCTCTAGGGAGTGACAGTGAATTACTGAATGTAAATATATATTGTATATATATTCAGGACGATTGTTGCTTCTAGGACAAAACATAAGGGGGACACTAATGTTTATTATAGGTTGAAATTTTGAGGAAGAATTGCGAGACACATAATATTATTGTTAAAACTTGCCTTGGAAACAGGTTATTGCATAAAACTGCTCATTTCTATTAGACACACTTCAAAGCATATGAGAGTGTTTCACAAAGTTTATAGCTTGAAAAATTTGTTTTTCACTTCTTCTTGGATCCTTAAGATTCAAAAGGAGATGTAGATTTTGCTGATATCACTTGAGAAATGTTTTTCATCTGCGAACTGTATTTAGATCCAATAAACTGGGTCAAGTGCATCTGTCTTTGCCAATTTGTTGAACTAACATGGTACCAGTTCTTTTAAATGAATAATGTGTACAGCATAGTAAGTCGAAGCAAAATCACCAGAAAGGGAGAAAGGCTCACTACAGTAAAATATGAAAAATTAAGGGATAAATTGTGTGCATGGCCCCTGGGGTCAAATTTAAGTGGACACTAAACATTGTATAATTCCCAAGGCCAGGATCCTGTGCTGTAAAAGCAACAGTGCAGGATAGTCATTAATATTACATACATTACTTTATGTGTATGTTTAGTTTTTTAACAATTTTTGCTAGTTTTGAGAGTTCTGTTTTCAGATTCACTGGGTGGAAATAGTCATACATTAATGATTGCTTGTGTTAGCCCAGCAGACAGCAATATGGAAGAATCTTTAAATACACTAAGATATGCAGACAGGGCTAGAAAGATCAAAAATAAGCCAGTGGTGAACTGGGACCCACAGACTGCAGAAATAATGAGGTTGAAGGGACAGGTTCAACAGCTAACAATGAAGTTAATCAACGCAGGGCTCACAGAGCTTGATAGGTAATATAAGATACTGGTCAAACATTAGAAAATCTAAATGTCAGTGATTAGAACTCATAACTTTAACATTGATTTTACCTAATTATTGCCATTTGTAGGTTGAGAAAAAAATAATTTATGGTTTTAAATGCAACTTTATAACAAAGGAAGGTCTTCTCAGTAATGATTAAACGTCAAACGTCACTTGTTAAGACTCGGGCATGTACTTATGTCGGTGATTTTTACCAAATTATTTCAAATTTTGACTTGAGAAAATCCCACCTGGCTTTTGTTTTACTATCTAGTTTTCAGGTTAGCTAAATGTGCTGCCAATGTGACCTCATATTGTAAATGATATATTTCAGTGAAAGTGACTTGAACATAGTTAAACCTGATTCACCTACCAGAGAAAAAGACGCTCAAGCTCTACAGAAATGGATAGATAAATGTAAAGAATTAGAGGTATGTACATGTTGTTGTGCTCTAATTCTTTCACTGCTGATGATATACTATATAAATAAAATTGCAAAACACACTAAAAATATATTTTGAAAGTTTTGTTTGGTTCAGTATATCATATTTTCATGAAACTGGAATTTTGACATTTAAAAGAATCATTTGTAGATATTTTAGCTCAGGAAAATTATCTAAAATAAAGACTAATTTTTTGTGCAGTTTTATGTCATTTTGTTCACTTGCATTTATAAAATTTGCAAATGATAGCAAGCAAACAAAATGTTATTTTAATTGTCAAAATTGTCATATGATCAGGAAATATACAATATATTTTAATACTGCACATTTGTAATGTCATTTTTCATTGGATAATCGTGACTTTTATATATATTTATATACACGGCTGCTGTCGATTTATGAAAAAAAATTTACTGTTTTCTCTAAAAATGATGCTTGCTGTATTATTACTTCGTCATAAAGATTGTTGACTGGTTATATGGCCGTATATAAAGCTGTTTGCAATATAACCTGAGTCGTTATATTTACAAATAGTCGTTTATATAGGGCCATATAACCTGTCAACGATCTTTATAACTAATAATATATAGGAACGTACATAGTTTTGTATGGTGTATAATTAGGATATGAATTCACTTTTATAGGCATTGATGAAAGTGTTTAAGATGTTAATAAAATCCTTGAATGATGTTAAATTTCTACATATGTTTTGTGTAAAAAAGAGAGCATAAAGTTTGATTTAGCCAGTTACATAGCCAGTCAGCACAATAACTTACCTCAACATGTCTTTGAAAACATGTAGTTAATTTCAGTACAAGTTTACAAAAGTACATTTAAAATATACTCTAGTTTTCCACATTACAGTTTATTTTATGCATACACCAGTGTTAAACATGTTTTGATACATAATTTTCCTTAAAGAAGTAAAGAAAAGAGTTGCTCAACCTTTACCATGCTAAATATCTTAACAGGACTTGTCCATCTTTCAATCTGGACAAAATCATCATTTTGAGCGAAATTGTCTTCCAAAAAATGTAGTGAATAAATAAGGAACAGTGCAGATCAGATTGAGAATTAGACAGCACAGGTAAGCCGGCTGATCTTGGACTTCACTGGTAGCAAGGGGTGGAATCTGTTGCCACCAGCAAGCTAGGAGTTAAGACTGCTTTTCTTTGTTTTCTGAACACGATTATAATTATTGTATAGGAGGAGGTTATAAACCTGCACAAGGAGTTAAGAATATCAGTTGACCAGGCAGCTACAATGGGGGAGAAGGCATTAAGATGGGAGATGAAATGTGAAAGACTAAAGTCACGTCTAAAGGAGCTGGAATCTAATATAGGGTAGGCAAAGTCTTCCTTACATGGCTATCTTATATTATTTATGTTTTATATTATAATATTTTATTATTGCATTATATAGAGAATAATAGGTTGGTGCCGTGGATGGAGAAAGTTTATCTGGCGAGGCGGAGGAATTTATTGGGTGAGCCGAAGGTGAACCCAATAAATTCCGGAGCAGAGCCAGATAAACTTTCTCCATCCACGGCACCAATCTATTATTCTATTTATCCTGTCACCGTTTTTTTTTAAGAATTTTATAAGGCAAACTACCTTTAATCACACTATCGGAAATGTTTCTATATAAACAAAGAAGGCCCGAAGCGTGCATTATTCTACAACAATGCACTCGCCGTTCTTATTATCTCCCTGTGTATTTTCACATTGAGGGCGCCATTTTGTTTGAAAAATGTGATAAATAAAAACAATTTTTTTGTCGAATTTTGTTGTGAAAACTATCTAGAATGAAAGAAAATGGTCTAACTAAGAAAATGAATTTGAACACCAATATCTTTTATTCAGTCGTTAACGCTGTACAGACGTTTAAAGTATTGTTTACGTGACGTCACAATGTAGCGCCAAACAGCACGTGCAAAACAATCAAATCAAGTACGCTATTTTAATGTCGCAAACGAGTTAAGTTTTACATTTATTTCACTTTTAATAATTTTTATTTCGCTTGAAAAATTATAGTGTGAAATAAAATAAACAAACAAAGTTTTATCAACGTTTCCAAAATTCGTTATTCTCCACACAGAAGATTTAACGACAGTTTTTATATATTTTTCTTGAAAAGTAGTCCGGCAAACATGCATACCACGTGATCAAGTGCCGTAGATCAGTAAAAATATACGGCACCTTGTTATCAGGCCGAAATTGATACAAGTGACAGGATAAAATCTAATTCTCAGTGTACTCTGTTTTGACTGATTTATTAGTGTTAGGAATGAGATATTTCATTTACACTTAAACTTAACACACTTGTGACAAAACAAACATGTTGAATAGTTCAAATACGACATTGAAATGACCATAACTGTCAAGGTCAAATTATAGAAATTTGATAAAATTGCCAAAACTTTGTTATTAATAGACAATACTGATTCATACTATAAGGAAACAAATCATATGACAAAACCTACAGGTAATTTAAGTATGACTTTACTGTTACATTTGTCTTGTAATTTTGCATAATTTGCAGGCCTAGACATTAACTTTTGAATAAGGTTGACCTGTCGGGCAAGTAGTTTTTAAAACTACTTGCCCTGACCTAAGACTTACTTGTCCTGACCTAAAAATGGTAAAAATGTATAAATCAGAAAAACAAACAAGCTCATACATTATTAAATACTTCTTGTTTTAGGTCATAAACTGCACATTTTGTTTATGAAATTGATTGTTAGTTAGACACAAATATTTTTTGTATTTAGTTTTTCTAAAACATCGGTTCATCTGTTTATTCAATGTGAATATACTTCGGTCATGTACATTTGTTGATGTAGGAAACGGAAGGGAAAATATGAGCATGCGCCGCGGTAAGGTAATTCCCCGTTCAATCATCAAGTCAACAGCCGTAAACGAGTCTTCGTTGTGTTCATAATGTTGTTATATTAGATTAAACAATAAATCATTTTAAATGCAAAAACTTTATTTAACAATTACATTTAAAGATCAATATGATTATTTACATATTTTTAATGATATCTTTACATGCAAACATCAAAATTTAAACAACAGCTAACCCGGGAATTACCTTGTACAAAATTAGATATAGTCTATTATTAGAACAGGGAATTACCTTACCGCGGCGCATGCTCATATTTTTCCTTCCGTTTCCTACATCAACAAATGTACATGACCGTAGTATATTCACATTATTGATAATGATTTATGGTGTATTTTGTTTTAAAGATGTTTATAAATGAAAAGATGTTATTTCTATTCATTTTGTACATGCATTTTGTCAATGATGCTTTTTATTTTCACTTGCCCTGTCGGACAAGTGCTTTTCAAAATAACTTGCCCGGACCAAACTTTTAGTTGTCCCGGGCAGTCAGACAACCGTTAATGTCGAGCCCTGAATTTGCCATAACTCTGTTATTTGTATACAAATTTGATACAGACTTTGACAAAACAACACTTGACAAATTGTCGAATCATTTAACTTGAGCTGAAAATGATGTTGACAATAAATGATCATCAAGGTTAAGTTATTTAAAAAAATTAAATTATCCTTACTTTGTTATTTTTGGACAGTTGAAACTCATTCTTTAAAGAATTAATAAATACTTATGGCAGAATAAACATATTGAATTAATGGAAGTTACTAGTATGACATTTACATGTAAATGACCGTGACTGTCTAGGTCACATATGAAATATATTCTTCAATTCTGTAAAACTTTCCTGATAGTCATTGACTTAAGTTAATATTTTGACCAAATACCATGTTTAACATCATAATAATAAATGAGTTTGACCTTGAATCTTTATTGACCTTGACCATCAAGGTCATGTTTTAAAAATTAATTAAATTTAGCAATAACTTAGTTATTAAATGATAGATTGAATTCATACTTTGATAAAACAACAGTTAAAGCAAACAATGATATTGAGTACTTTAAATATGACTTTTAACTATGAATGACCTAAATCCAATAGTGATTTTTATGCCCCCACAGAGTGGGAGCATATAGCGTTGCACTTGTCCGTCCGTCCGTCCGTCACGCCGTACGTCTGTCTGTCTGTACGTCCCGAAATCTTGTGAACGCAACTCCTCTTAAACCGGATGACAGATTTTGCTTAAACTTTCAGGGATGAACAACCTTAATATGTAGATGGTAGTAAAGGAAGAAATTTTCGCTGCGACCAAATTTAACAGAATTATGGCCCTTTGTTGATTTTTTCACTATATACTATGTAGAAATTTTGTGAACGCAACTCCTCTTAAACCAGATGGCAGATTTTGCTTAAACTTCCAGGGATGAACAACTTTAATGTGTAGATGGTAGTAAAGGAAGGAATTTTTGCTGCAACCAAATTTAACAGAATTATGGCCCTTTGTTGATTTTTTCACTATATACCATTTAGAAATTTTGTGAATGCAACTCCTCTTAAACCGGATGGCAGATTTTGCTTAAACTTTCAGGGATGAACAACCTTAATGTGTAAATGGTAGTAAAGGAAGGATTTTTTTTTCTGCGACCAAATTTAACAGAATTATGGCCCTTTGTTGATTTTTTCACTATATACCATATAGAAATTTTGTGAATGCAACTCCTCTTAAACCGGATGGTAGATTTTGCTTAAACTTCCAGGGATGAACAACCTTAATGTGTAGATGGTAGTAAAGGATGGAATTTTTGCTGCAACCAAATTTAACAGAATTATGGCCCTTTGTTGATTTTTTCACTATATACCATATATATGTTGTCAGTGGGGGCATCCGTGTCCTTTGGACACAGTTCTAGTTTAGTAATAAAAAGCCAAGATTGTGACCTGCTTGGGGTGGCTATTGTTGAAAACTAGTTTTCGTGTTATAACAATGTTTATTGTTTACTCATTAACACAAAACAATGTGTTGTGAAATTACATGTTTCAATGTTGAGTTATTATAATTATGTAGAAATACATATTATTACAATATTATGATGATATTAATATTATGATATTTACAGTGTAGACTTTGATTTGCTGAGTTCAAGCATTGTTGATGAGAACAATCCAGCATTGGCTGAACAGCTAGAGAAATTGAAAGCCCTTGCTAGCAAACTTAATGATTCAGTGGTATGTGCTTTTTTAATAGCAGATTCAATATATGCTTTGTTTAACCATGAGAAAGGTTAAACATATGTGTTCATAAAGTGAAATGAATGTACACAATAACCTTAGTTCTGACTACAAGCTCACTTTTTTAGATATATTACAACAAACGATACATAGCTGTTTCTAATGTATTTCTGTAGATCATTTCTGTCATTTCTGTCATATACTTGCTGTTTTAAAGTATTTCCCAGAAAGACAAAGGAGGTTTTTATTTTCATTCATCTGTAATATCTTGGAATCATGAAAATAACATACAGAGTCAATTAAGAGTTAAAATAGAAACTGATTCACTTTCAAGAATGTGAAAACTCAATGCTGATTGGCTGATTAAGAAGATGATTACTATTGGTGATCCTAAAAGGGTAGTGTTATTTGAGAGATGACTTATCAGATTGTGTGAATGGCCTTATTATGATGTTTAAAACAGTGATTATTGGAACACACATTGTGTATTGATCATGTTTATTTATTATCACTCAGTATGTTTATTAATTTGTATATTTGATTTATTTAGAGTACAGACAACACAGCAGAATCTTCTGAAGACGAGGAAAATGTTGAAACTGAGGTAATTAAACATGATGATTTTACTTTAAATGAAGGTCTAGTGCATATATGTATTAATAATAGTGTCAAGGGTTTGTTGTGAAGATAGTGCTTTAACAGGATAGTCAAGTGAATAGACTGTATTTGCTTGATTTCTAATTTCATTGATGGTCATAAATTTCATTTTGCTTTAATTTCTTTAGCTAATGTAGATATAGCCTAATAGTTATACAATAAGAATTACAAATGAAACTTTGATTTGAAATATTAAGCATTTGATAAAATATAAATATGTTTGAAGCATTTTTTATGTCTTTGGGGAACATAACTGGAAAAACTTAATTCAGTAGGAATAGCTTTGGATTTGTAATCAAGTGGTGACTGATACAATCCTTGTGGGAGACGAAAAATTGTTTCAGACATCAAGTTTAATGATCATTTGTCTCACTGCTGATTTAGAAATCCGGTTGGATTAGTTGTTTGTGACTTGCGGAGAAATTTTTAATTATTTGTTAGTTATCCATAAAGCTGGTTAGGTGGACAAGCTCCCAGGATATAAATATAAATGTGTTAAAATTGACTGAAATTCCAAATTTGAAAAAATTAATAGGACATATGAAAGGAAAGGTATATGCACTAATAAGAGAGCTAAATGTATATGAGTATTTGAGTGAGAGAGGTTTTTTCAAGTTCGTGATTTTATTCTTCACAGGCTGAGGAAGGTCAAGATGAAATGCCATGTACACCAGAATCACGTGAGATGTTAAAACAGCATACTTTACGACGGGCACGCATGAACAACCAACTGACTGAGTTAAACAAGATCCTAGAAACAAAAGAGAAATTAGCCAACAAATTCATCCAAAATGATACAAAGATGGTTGAAATGCAAGCAAAATATGAGGTATTCTTTCTTTTAGCTTTATTTTGATCTTTCCCCCTTATACAACAGGATTTAGATCTAATGTTACACAGTCATAAATAAATACTGCCACAGAAATACGTCTGTCATAATATGTGTATTGAAATAAAATTATTTTAATAAGTTATGTTGATATACCAGATTATTGACCAGGAGATAATATGTAATATATAAAGACACTTTGTCATACAAAAGCTTGTCAGTAAAGTCATCTTTATACTCTGATGTTACAACAGAGTTATGCTTTGTTGAACTTGCATTTTAATAAAAAAAATTTACACACAATAATAGCATAATAATGTTAGTGTTTATAGTTGTGATTAACTAATTTATTACACACAATTATAGCTGAATATTGCTAGACATACAGCTTGATACAGGTGTGTGTTGTAATGAAACAATGAGTGGTTTATAGTAGGTCAAAAGCATAGAGGCTTTATGTAACAAACATATACATGATTATACTAATGTTTCTATAGCAAGACATGAAGAATCTAGAGGTGGAGATAAGTTCTTTACAGAAGGAAAAAGAGAATCTATCAACAGCTTTAGAGGATGCCAAGACAAATGTTGCTGCCAGCAAGTATGTCAAATATGTCTTTTTCTATCACTCCCAATAATACTGATCATGATACGTTATAATAGCTTCAGATTTCAAAGATATGTGTGTGTAGAGCTATCATGGATAGATACAATGCCATATCAATTTATCATTGATACCTTTTCTTTTTAGCAATTATCCATAAAAGCTTTATATGTAATATTATGAATATAATATATAGTAGCAAGAAGCTGGTGTCTTGTCAAGAGGGCATGTGTAATACTATGCTATAGTTGCTTAATGGACAACTTCACTTTACATATTTTATACCAGTAATGACAAGATGGTTAGAAGAAAATATGCTAACAACATTTATAAACAATATACATTATAATTTTATACTGAAGTTTTGTAAACAAGTATGAAAGTGAAATATAGATAATACTCCATGTATAGTCAGTATTTGGCATCCTATATCAATACATCATTGATATGTTTTGATCTGACTCAGTAACAGCTCTTTGTAAGAAAAAGTATTGATAATGTAATGGATAAGTTTTGTAATGATATCATACATTAAAATTTATCCAGCAAGCTTACGAAACAACAATGGTTCTACTTGGATGCCCTCTTGTTGTGTATATTTCCAGCTAGCTTACAGAATGTTGGTGGTTCTGCTCAGGTGCTTGCCTGTTACTAATAAATAATGCATGATGGCACCTGAGTTGTTCATCCACCAATATAGCTGGAAAGTTTTCATATGACCTTACAGTTAGTGTGACTTAAAAACCAAACAAAACAACCATTAAAATATACTTGATGAGATTTAAACATATTTATATGTCAGGTTAAGTGAACAGAGAAGGAAAAGGCTACAAGAACTGGAGGGACAAATGGGTGATTTGAAGAAGAAATTGGTAGAACAGAAAAAAATGCTGAAAGTAAAAGATCAGTCAGAGAAACAAGTTACTCAGCTTAACACAGAAATTCAGGCAAGTTATTAAATGTTTTATTTAATACGGTAATAGGAGGTAGAAGCTAGTGATGTTCTGATTGTCGCAAGTCGTCGATAATCAGTTACTGTTATGTAAAGCGACAATAATCTATTCACAAATATTTGTTCCGCGATCGTCGAAAATGTTTAAAGTATTAATTCTGACGGTAATTTCCTTTTAGGAACACCTCACCGATCGCAAAGAAAATATCTCAGAGACAATTTGGAGTTGAACAGGACCAATACGTGATGTAAACAATAGTTATATAATGTGATGTCAATGTTATTATTTGACATCCATTGGAAAATAAAAGCTTTTTCGTAAAATTATGACTATATAAGGTTAAAATTGTGTTGAAAAGTGCTATATGAAGTTCACGTAACTGAATAAAATAAAGTGCCTTGGGAAGAATTGTTTCTTCCCTATTTCTTTTTAACGCGACTTTATTCGAAAAGTTATCAATTATGTCCCATCCGATTGAACCAATGATCGATTGGGACAAATATCATCCGATTTCCATCACTAGTAGAAGCACAAATATTGGTTTGCATAAAAAGATAATATTTACAATTAAATCATTTAAATAATTAATGAATAGAAAAAGTAGCGAGGGCCAGACAAATAATTGGTATGCTTTTGATATCATGTTATCAAATAATCATATAAACATTGTTATTTTAACACTGATGTGACAATATGCCTATGTGTTAATTACCACATAGAAATCTTTGTTCAAATTTGCAGTTATAATTTGCTTATCAAATCTTTCCATCCACTTTGGATCTGATGAACTCATGTATGATCAAAATTGTGAAAAATAGTAAATCAGATAGTTATTGTTGCCAGTTATTTGCAGCAAATCAAAAAACATAATAAAGCCTTAGCAACACAAAATTTGATATATTGTTTCAGCATAATCCATTAAAATTTATGGATAGTAGACTTAATGATTTTTAATCATTTGGGAGATGAAAAAAATATCAGTAAATGTTATAGTTTCTACAGTTTAAGACATAAGTAAAGCAAAGTACCGTAGTAGAGATGCAAGAAATGACACAAAAAATGACTCAAAATATGGATTTGTGGCATTATTTCATTATTATTTTATGATTTTCAGTGGATTACTGATTTATCCGTGAAAATTATATTTGGTAATTTCACAGTTATTATCAAAATATAATTTCACTCTTTTCAATGACGAAACTACTTTTTAAAGATTTTCCCCACGTGGTACCTCAATTTTATTTTTGCTGACAATTCTGACAATGTCAGGCTGTTTAAAGAAAAAGCAAAGCTGAAATTGATAAATAACTTAAATGTCAAAAGTAATAAAAAGAAGAAAACTTACTTCTATTCATTCAAATTCCAATCACCAAATTTCGTCTCTAATTTTTTTTGTTTCATTTTTACAGTCTGAAAAATACATTCCTTCCCCATGCAAAACTGCTCTTGATGACATTTGGGCATATTAAAGTATCCTACGAGCAATAACTGCCGTATGCTTTATGAAAAATTGAAAAGCATTGACAGTCATCACTCGAAAAATAAGTAAAACAACCCAGCGTTCTTAAGCAAGCTTCCAAGTTTTCCATTTTCCTAGCTCCTTTTCTGAATGTTTTCGCATCTGTCAACACTTATTTTTTGTCTGTTACAATCCTCAAATAAGTTTTCTTTCTTTTAAAAAGGTGTATGACTAACAAATCCAAATTATATCCCTCTGAATCTTACACAATTATTTTCCTCCCATGAAATACACAACTTTAAAAAATGGCTGCCGCTTACAATTTACAAAGCCAGGTCTAATATAAATTCGCAGTAAGTAACAGAAATATGGATGGATGGTTGGACTTTTTCTCCTACAAGAATTGTTTGTTTTTATTATTAAAACAAGGGATCATTCATATTTTTTAATAAAATGAATAAATATCACCGTCATTTAATGTTGATTGGCGGACTTATTTTTCAGCTCAAGACTTCTTGTTTTTGATGAGAAATTCCGACTAAATGGGGCTCTCAATGGGGGAAACAGTTTTAATATTAACGTTAAAATTATGGAAATTTCGTTTTAACTTGTTTTTAAAGGGAAAGACAAGGATAGAATAAAAACTTGATTTCAGAAAAAGAATACTATAAATAATAAATCTGCAAATTTTCTGCCGCCAAATAATAATATTAAACGAATGATAACAAAATTTATATCGCTAAATCACCGATTTCTATAAATCAGTAGGCGCGGCCATATTTGTGTATTGGCCGTATAAAAACAGGTGCGCGTGATGTCATTTCCCCACATCTTTATATTTATGATAAATCTAGTTGAATCGTAGCGAAATATTAATATAATAAAGAATTGACCAGGAGGTGTAGAGGAGATTTTTTTATGGTTCAAAATACGTAACAATATCCCAAAAATAAATAAAAAAAAAATAAAGAGAGAAAGAAATAAAAAAATCAACGTCTACCGGTCGCACCACTTCAGGCCAGTGATGCCCGTTACTCCAAACAATGCTATGTTCATTAAAGTCTCATCTTAATGTAATTAAACAATATTTCACACACATGTTATTATTTAACAAAGTTTCACAATCAAATAATGCAATTAATTAAACAAACGCACCAACGAATAATTGTCTGTTAATTATTGAACGGCGATAATTATCATTATTATAAAATTCCTACTAAAACGTGTTCTTAATAGTACATGTAATTAAATTTTTGTTGTTTGATTCTGACTTTCAAATTAAAATTAAGGTGTGAACAATTGTTATAATTGATGTACACATTTCAAAAATATAAGCAACTCTTTTGAAAAGTAAATTGTTAACATGTCTGTCAACGTATGATCCTGCGTGGTTGTTATTTACATCGTAATCGTAGCCTAATATTAACTACAAGCAAACATTTTTATTGGCTGCTCAAATATCTAATTTGCATAATTTATTCACACACTTGCTGGTTCTTACTACTTATGTCTAATACTGTGCATTATCCATTTTAATTGTTCCTAATTTGCACCAAATGTTCCTGTCACATTTTTTTTTTTTTTTTTTTTTAATGGGTTTTTTTAAGGTCGCCGCCGGAAACCCCATATGGGCGACCGTACACTCAAGTCGGGCCATCCTAGAGCGTCCCGCCGAGATTTTTTCGTCGATTTTTTTCCAGCTTTATTGGTGGAGGAAGACCCCAAGTGCCCCTTCGGGCATTAGTTCAGGCACGAGCGGGCACCTGGGTAGAACCACCGGCCTTCCGTAAGCCAGCTGGATGGCTTCCTCACATGAAAGATTTCAACCCGAGTGAAGATCGAACCTACAGCGGTGAGGGACCTGTGATCTCAAGTCAACGACCTTAACCACTCGGCCACGGAGGCCCCACTGTGAACTGACGACTTTTATTGCTCCTTGTATGCCTCTGTGCCGACAGACCTTTTGATCATGGACAATGTTGCCCTAATTGGTTAATCACCCTTGTCAAATATTTTCTAATGACGAAATAGACATTTATTTTTTACGCTTCATCAGTGAACTGAATGACCTGAGGGGAAATTAAGTTCCGCATACTGTAAATTACAGCATTTCATAAAATAGCAACACATTTTTTTCAGTAACCAATGATCATTTTAAATATTAAGTAGATTTATGATTTTTTGTTTTATTGGATTAAATTTACGGTAGTAGAAATGCGTATCTGTGTGGGAAGGAATCCGGACAATTCCCCTTGGGATTGGGTAAGTAGATAGCGTGGAAAAAAGCTAAAGGGATCTGGATAAACCCGAGAATATGCGTAATTACAGGGGAATGGGAAACCTGTTGCTGTTGGTACCAGTTTTGACTGGGTGTCTATATAACCTAACGGACAGTTTTGTTTTCATACGATATAAGTCTGGCTGCCGATTTTCCTGCGCCATTCTCATTTTAGCGTCAATGGCGGAAAATCCGTCCTCAGCAGATCTCTGCATATTGGATTTTGTTGATATTTTCCGCTGAAAAAAAGATACATGACCGGCGATGTACCCTATTCGGACAGCTTGTCTAGCGAAAATGAAGTACAAAATAAAAGGATAATATCGTCAATTTGAAGAAGTTTCTCATAGTACCCAAATTAAATTGATGGTTTATCTTTGAAAATTAAGCAGTCATTGCTTAAATCATGTGGTGGGATCATCAGCAAGCTTGAAAATCGGACAAATGATAATTAATGTCGCGGCGTCTTCAATTAATTAATTAAAGCAATTCAGTTCCATATGATGTTTTTATAAATACGGTAATATATAATGTACGCAATTAGATTAATAAGTTCTTCATCAAGATATATTTCAGTTGTACCAGCGTGTACACCTATACCGGAAGTGGGTATAACACGTCACAATCTCGGTCTCGTCTGTCTCGTGAGAATGACAGAACGCCAAAATGGCGGCGCCCATGAACTTATTTCTCAAGTAAAAAATAGTGTCTTCAAACATGAATTTCTCACTTATAGGGTTGATGTCAATAGAAAAACTGTCATTGTACCTCTTTTTAAATGATGAATATTTATATTAGACAGACATCAATCCATCCATTCCTATTCCTTTAAGCATAAAATAAAAAGAAAATTTGTCTGTTTGTTGTGTAAGATGTAATTTTATTTCATCTCGTGAACTTTAAAAACAGTATTCTCACTCGTGGCTACGCCACTCGTGAGAATACTGTTTTTAAAGCCCACTCGATGAAATAAAATTTCATCTTACACACAATCCAACAAATATCCTCTATGTAATAGGGTTAATGATTTTGCAAGTAATCTTTAAACAGAATACATATCGTTGAACTGATAATATTTCTTTATGATCTGATACATGTATGTTCAATGTCTGTTTTATATATATTTTATAGGGTTTGAAGACACAGAGAGTAAAGTTAATGAAACAGATGAAGGAGGACAATGACCAGTGGAGGAAGTGGAGACAAAAGAAAGACAAGGAAGTCTTACAGTTACAACAAAAGGTCAGTGATCATCACATAAAATTAAAATTTATTCTTCTTCAGAACATGAAAAGTGAAGTTATTTCACTAGGCATCATTTAGGTTATTGAATCTCTGTTTTAACAGACACAACAACAAGCAATTTATCAGAATTGGTATCATAAAAGCTTTTTTTTTTAACTGGAAAGTTTTTGAAAGATTTTTAGTACGAAAATGCAGTTATCCATTATTCATCCAATTATCTTAACACATAGCCTCGTTGTACCATCTCTCGAACAGTAATTTCACTTAACTGTAATTATTTTTAGGATGTGAAGTGTCTTTAAACTTAGTAAAGTTCTTGATTGTAGAGGCATGTATTGTGTCCGTTTTGACCTACTTAAAATTTGTCAACATGACCTTTAAAAATGGCTGCCGTGAACTCATTGGGGTGCTTGATTAGTAGAACAAAGCTGACCCCTTGTTACCAATTATCGAACCAAGTTATTTATAGTGTATGAATAACATTTAGAAAGAGGAGACCATTTATATTGAAACTATAAGCATTAATTAAGTTTTCTACTGTAACATAGAACAAAACAAACACATTTTCATTTATTTTCATGTCATGTCACATTCCTGGAGTATTCATCTGATTTTTTAAATACAACAGCTTCTCAAATCAGAGGCAGCTTTATTTACATCAACCAAAATTTGATTATTCCTTTTCAACATTGATAATGGTATCAATTGCATATTGAAAACAGTAGAAGAAATATATTTAGTGGTGTTAAACTTGATTTATCTTGTTCGATTAAATATTTGATTGAACAAAATAATAAATCAAGAAACTAGGTCAACGTTGACAGTTCATAAAACAAATCAAAAATACAGTAAAATTACCCTCATATTTTCTTGAAAGAAGGGTTCATAAAGTATTCTTATTGTTCTCACTTATTCCATAAATCTACATTAGTAAAGTGGTAACTTTACTACAAAAATACATGATTTCAAAAATAAAAGTAGGCTGCCATTTTCCTAAAATTGAACTTTCGTCTACTATTAGAATGGTCAAAATGAAGCTGTAAATATGGAACTTTGCCAAAACAAAGCAAATGTAAGTGCTTGTCACTTTATTAAACTATCTCTTGCTGCACAACATAAATTTGATTTGTCAAATATAAAATTTATCACTTTGGTCGAGAGATGGTACCGTTCGAGAGATGGTATCAAAAGGCTAGGAAATTATTGTTTACTTCTTCATACTTTTTAGCTCACCTGTCACAAAGTGACAGGGTGAGCTTTTGTGATCGCTTTTCGTCCGGCGTCCGTCCATCCGTCCGTCGTCCGTCCGTAAACTTTTGCTTTAAATGACATCTCCTCATAAACCACTGAGCCAATTTCATCCAAACTTCACAGGAATGTTCCTTTGGTGGTCACCTTTAAAAATTGTTCAAAGAATTTAATTCCATGCAGAACTCTGGTTGCCATGGCAACCGAAAGCAAAATCTTTAAATATCTTCTTTTAAACAACCCTAAGAGCTAGAGCTTAGATATTTGGCATGAAACATCTTCTAATGAGTGTCTACCAAGTTTGTTCAAATAAAAGCCCTGGGGTCAAAATTGGCCCCGCCCCGGGGGGTCATTGATTTTCCCTATATGCATATAGTAAAAACTTAAAAAATCTTCTTTTAAAGAACCGTAAGAGCTAGAGCTTAGATATTTGGCATAAAACATCTTCTAGTAAATGTCTACCAAGTTTGTTCAAATAAAAGCCCTGGGGTCAAAATTGGCCCCGCCCCAGGGGGTCATTGATTTTCCCTATATGCATATAGTAAAAACTTAAAAAATCTTCTTTTAAAGAACTGTAAGAGCTAGAGCTTAGATATTTGGCATGAAACATCTTCTAGTGAATGTCTACCAAGTTTGTTCAAATAAAAGCCCTGGGGTCCAAATTGGCCCCGCCCCAGGGGGTCATTGATTTTCCCTATATGCATAAAGTAAAAACTTAAAAATCTTCTTTTAAAGAACCCAAAGAGCTAGAGCTTAGATATTTGGCATGAAACATCTTCTAGTGAATGTCTACCAAGTTTGTTCAAATAAAAGCCCTGGGGTCAAAATTGGCCCTGCCCTGGGGGTCATTGATTTTCCCTATATGCATATAGTAAAAACTTAAAAAATCTTCTTTTAAAGAATCATAAGAGCTAGAGCTTAGATATTTGGAATGGAACATCTTCTAGTGAATGTCTACCAAGTTTGTTCAAATAAAAGCCCTGGGGTCAAAATTGGCCCCGCCCCAGGGGGTCATTGATTTTCCTTATATGCATATAGGAAAAACTTATAAAATCTTCTTTTAAAGAACCCAAAGAGCTAGAGCTAAGATATTTAGCATGAGACATGTTCTAATGGGTGTCTACCAAGTATGTTCAAATAAAAGCCCTGGGGTCAAAACTGGCCCCGCCCAGGGGGTCATTGATTTTCCTTATAAACATAGCAAAAACTTAAAAATCTTCTTTGAAAAAACCCAAATAACTAGAGTTTAGATATTAAGCATGAAACATCTTTAAGTAAATATCTACAAAGTTTGTTCAAATAAAAGCCCAGGGGTCAAAACTGGCCCTGCCCGAGGGGTGTCATTGTTTTTAACTATATGTGTATAGTAAAAACTTAAAAAATCTTCTTTTAAAAAACCCAATGAGCTAGAACTTAGATGTTTTGCATGAAACATCTTCTTATGGGTGTCTACCAAGTCTGTTCAAATAAACAAATAAAAGCCCTTGGGTAAAAATTGGGCCGCGGGGTGGGGGTGGGGGGCTATATACAGGTGAGCGACCTCAGGGCCATCATGGCCCTCTTGTTTATTTCAGGATAGAAAACGTCAGTTTGAAATACAGAAATTACAGCGTGAAAACAAGAGAACACAAAATGTTCTTCATAGAAAATCAGAAGAGGTACATGGTGTGATTGAATAATTATAACCATGCTAGATATTACAATTTACAATTGAAGTTGCAACTGTCTGTTATTAAGTGATTTGAATATTTAAGTAAAGTAGGTAACTGTATAGAATCTCGGCCTAATCAGATTAGAAGGAAATTCAGGCTGGTCTTGTTGTTTTTTTGTTGTTTTTTTTTTTGGAGGCAAGTCAGTTTAGCCACAAACACCCTGAAAGTTGATACTTAAGCAGTATTTTAATGATGTTTAATATACATTAAAAATATTAATTCTAGAAATGCAACTGATTTGTTATCATAACACTGGTGATTCATAATTTCTTACAATGATATTCCCCTGAATGTATTTCTTACCAAAGAATGATTGGCTAAGTTAATTGATTGCAATAGATGACATTATCTAGATGCTGATTGATTGGCTAAGTTAATTGATTGCAATAGATGACATTATCTAAATGCTGATTGATTGGCTAAGTTAATTGATTGTATTAGATGGTACTATCAAGATGCTATGTGACCAGGTAGATTATAACTATGAACCATTGTTTCAGGCTGCAGCAGCTAATAGAAGGTTAAAGGAAGCTTTGGCCAAACAGAAGCAAGTTATAGAGGAGAGAAACCAAAAGTTTGAGAAATGTGATAAAAATGCTATAGGAAATAGAGTCAGGGTAGGTATATGCTTTCTGTCTTTAGTTATTCATAATTGTTATTCTTTATATATAGAAAATATTAAAGGAAATGGGGGGGGGGGGGCAACCTGAATGTAAAATCTTGTGCTTTATGGCCCTTCATTTTGATTTTGACACATTGGCTGCTATATGATGGGGATGTTCCTGTTGGTAGTAATCTGTTTTGTGATTGTAAGATTCATAACATTGAGCTGCAAAATCCACATGTATTTTATGATTGAAAATCGTTATTCAATTTCACAAAATTGTTAAGCAGGAATTCTAATATTGGTGAACGTTTGCAGGCAGCTAGGTGTAAACAGTTTCTTCCAATGCAAATCTTGCATTTCTGAAAGGAATTCCACCAAACTGGTACACAGGTGTGTCTAAAAGCATTTTTACAGGACTTTCTGCTTTGATCACCTCTGGCAGAGTAATGTTACTGTGTTGTTTACTTGTTGGGTTGTTTTTTTCCACATGTGATTTTGGCTGAAAACTTTTGACAATGATCTGTCTCTTATTAAATATAATGTTTTGTTATCTTGTAGAAATGGTTGAGTTTTGAGCTAGATGTTAAAGTTGGAATAATGGAAGCCAAATACCACAGAGAAAGTCTGTTACAGGATCGTAAAATGTTGGCAGAACAATTGAAGGAGTTAAAGGAGAGTCTGAATGATGATGCTCCACCATCAAAGGTATATTTGATAGTAAACTTATATCACTTAACTTTTATAAAATAGTTAAATATTTGTAGGAATTATGTGAGCGGCTAAATAAATAGTCCTTATTGCCTAGGCTGTTCAACAGACTGTACAGACAGACATGCAGGGCTACAGATGACGTGCGTATTTGCGTAATTACCCAATTAAAATGTCAAAAAATGCAATAGAAATAATAACGAAGGGTAAGAAAAAGTAAATAAATTCTTATTTATACAAACTACATTGGAACTGGTGCGTAAAGATGTAAGTTATACTTAATGCCCTACATCAGGCAGATCATACTGTTTCAGACTGTTTTAACCTTTAAATTATATCAGGCAGCTTGGAAATATTCTAGGCCAATAAACCATAAAGCATAATAGTAAGTAGCTTTTTTATAACCATACAAAACCTACAACAGTCTACAATGAAGGTCAGAAATTTTGGGTAAAATACATGAACTCATGCTTTAAAACCCAAATTGGTAAGAGAGGGTAGGGTAAAAAATACAGAAATAACTCTAAGAAAATAGGAAAAAAACCAATAGATCACATAACAAGGGGTAATTACCCATTATATACAAAATGTTATCTGTAGCCCTGGACATGTAAAAAAAATCCTTAATTAACTTTATAAATATTATATAAAAAGTACAGAAATAATTCATATGAAACTATCAAGGAATTGAAAATCAGATTTTGCTGTACCTGGGTCAACTGAACATGTTTTTCAGTCAATTGTTTAAACTGCTAAAGTTGCTATAGCTACAGTTCATATAAACATATAGGCAGAATGAAAACTGTATTACAGAGTGTATTTCAACTTTGCATGGTATTAGAATATGAAAACAGAAATAATTTTAGCGGACAAAAGGTTTTCTGCCAACTTAATAACAAGCTTTATAGCTTGAATTAAGGATCTATTATCATAATATTATTTTATGTGCTAATATGATGTTGTGAGTTATAAGTATAGGCCAGATGCAAAAGTGTCACCAACATTCTTTTAAATTTTACTCTTTTACTGTTGTATAGATTATCTTAGGAAAGACAATTGTGTTAGGCAATGAATACTTGTAATTTACAGAAAATGGCATGGATGGATGACTCGGGAAAGAAACATGAGGCAAGTTTTGAGGAGGAAGAAACTAAGAAAAAAATTCATCATCTTCAACAGCAGATAGAATTAAGGTATTAATTATTGTCCCTTAAATGTTGTACATTTAGATCATGTTTTAGTTGATTAGTTTTATTAATCTATGTTAGTTTGATTGTGCTGAAAGCTTTAAGCTTATTCAATCACTGAAATCCACTCCTGGAACCAACAAGTAATAAGAGGAGTGTATGGTTTTTTGCTCATAGAAACAAATGCTTGCCCCTGGTGGGGTTTGAACACACACAGCTGGCAGTCCTTAGATTACTTGGCCAATGTGTTAACCACTTAACATTAACAGCCAGGGCTGTTGTAAACTTTAATGGCAACATCTATCCATGTTGTTCTGGAGAATCTATTAGTACAAGTGCCAAGTTGTCCTTGATATAATTTATCAGCTGATTATTCACCATATCATGTTTAAATGGTGTTGATATGGCAACTTAAATAAAATAGGATAATTACTGATTTAAATAATTTGTGTTAATAACTTATCTTTGATATTATTCCTTGATATTGTAGTCATTTTCATAATAGTATAAAGTCTTTACTGTGTTAAATTTTAAACTTGACCTTTATTTAAATAAATATTTGTTATTAAATTCAGTTAAAAATATTAATGTTTGTCACTTACGTGGAATGATTATTATAACATTTTATATTACTGAAGTCAACTAAATGTTTTGTTTCTTTTTACTCTATCAGAAATGTTCAAATTGCTGACTTACAACAGAAAATCTTTGATGCAGAGCAAGGTATTTATATAATGACTTCTAATACTGAACATTTGTAACAATGATTTTCATTGGATAATCGTGTTTACGTTTTTTATCATCTGCAAGCTATGTATTGAAAAAAAAGTGGGTGTTGTATTGAAAAAAAAGTGGTTGTAAATTAATATAAATTAGTAAAAAGCTACTAGTATGTAAAGTGTTAATTTGATAAAATAGCTATTTTATATTTATGTATATATTACAGAGGGTAAAGGCAAATCTACAAAGGATAATCTTCATACAATGATGGAGGCTAAGATAGCTCTCAAATGGCTTCTAGATCAGGTATTTATATGCTGATAATAAAAGCTGTTAAAATTGTTTAATTAACCCTTGTCCACAATAGTATCCAGGCACATTACTTTCACCTAATTTTTGTTGCATTGTTAAATAGAAATCTATAAAACAATGGATATTTTTAAATCCAAAGAAGGATATGTCCATTTATCAGTATAAAGTTATAAAGACTGAAAAGAAGTTGTGATATTTTGTATATTAATAATGTTAATATTGTGTATACTTGTAGTCGGTGTCATTTAAAGCTGACAATAATCGTATACGGCTAGAGATGGAGGAAATGAAACATTCTGTATCTGACAGGAACAATGATAATGATGAAATTCTGAGTGAACTAGAGGAGAAAATAGAGCAACTGAAGAAGAAATATGAGAGAGATATAACCAGATTACAGTCAGATCATCAACAAGAGGTGAGTTGTGAGAGTCCATCAGTAAGAACTGAATTACATGAAAATATTATTTTAGAGATGGTGTTTTAAATCAGAGTCCACACATGAGGTTACATAACAGTGTAGTCATCCAGTCTAACATACTTAGACAGGTCACCACTTTATTGTAGTTAATTAACTCCTGAAAAGATTGTTAGGTTACACACTACCATATTTAAGTCAATGCAGATGATGCATACAGCTTGATAAATGTTTCAATTTTGTAGAATGGGAAGCAATGCAAACAATATGGCCATATTTTGAACGAAAGAAATATTCACGGAAAAGCTTTGATTACAAATGTACAAACTTTACTGGTGCTCTACTGACAAAAATAATGTTTTTACTTACAGATAGAGATCTTGCTGGCATCTAGTGCTAATGTTGCTACAACCAGTACAGACTTAAAAGATGAACTTAAATCGCAGGTACATACATCTATATAAACCTTATTTATACACACCAGGAGAAACATGACATTAAACTGCCTCGGTCAGATAATTAATGCCATTGATATTGGATCACCTGTGCTGTGGATTTCATTCATGCCTGGGATAATTAATTCTGTCTTTAGAAGAAGCACTTTTTTACTTGTGGAAGGTCTGTGGCTATACATTAGAGCTACCCCATGGCAAAGAAAATAGGGCCGTCATCGGAAATTGCCATATGGATGTATCATCTATTCTCAAGGGTCGATTCAATATCGATGCAAAATTTTGAATATTGATTCAATCATTTAAATAAAAGTGTCAACTAGCAATGAATAAAATATACAAACATTTCAAATTAAAATCCTTACAATTTTGTCATTTGCAATTAAAATTTTAATCTCTGACCTAAAGCAAAATAGCAGCCATTAATGTTTACATTGTTAGCGCATGCGTCCATCTAATTACATCAGGTCAAAAATTACCAAATCTAAAAATTCTGGCAACAAATGCTTGATTCGTGGTTCGGTTTGTGTATTTTCCGAAATTTAGTGCGCTTTAATATGTAGATGACAATGATAATAATTATTAATTAGCAGGCTTTATAATTTGCACAGCAACATGGCGGCTATGCCAGATATTGCCAAGTTTTGTTTCAGAAGGTTAAAATAAAAAGAAGAGTGATATATGGGAAAAAGTTGGAGTCTAAAGTAGTTTGTAATTAAGTTTGCCATCTAATTATGCCACACAGAGGCAATACCACAAATATAAGGTCACATATTGACAGAAAGCATTGGTCCATGTCTGGTGAGTTCAGTTCCTGTGAGTTATAAATAATTCTTAGTCATTAATTTGTTTCTGGGATTATAAATAACAAGAGAACTCAGTTTCATCTGGTTTTGTTGTATATTTTATTTAAACCATGCATAACAAACAAAAAGAGACATTTTGAATCATTTATTCCAGTGTGTTTGCATATCTAAAATTTGTTTCGATGTATGGTCGATATTTGCCCTTCGATATATGATACAAAAATTTCTATCAATGACAGCCCTAAAAGAAAATACACAGAAGGGTACTAGGCTGTTCCTCCCATGAAATAAAGATTTCATATCATCTCAGCAGTGTCTTGACTTAACACCCAGCCAAAAAATAAATCTTGGAAAATTGTAGCAGTCTACCTAAGTGATAAAATGATTTTAGAGAAGGCATTGAAACACTGGTGTATCAGACGTTTTGCCAAAGTTGGTCAGAATTTTGATATTTTGTAGTGTAGTATACTTACAGTGGGTAATAAGTCTTGTGTCAATTGTTTGCATAAATAGTTAAAATTAGCTAGATTAAAATTGTAAAGTTTTGATTAAGTACAGTATTTAAATTTTCAGACAAGCATTATGTTGTATTATTTCAGAAAAAAGAAATAGATGATCTTAAGAAACAGCTAAAGAAAAAGACTGTGGAATATAATAAAATGGAAAAGGTTTGTTGACCATTCAATGTGGAAATTATGCAAATCATAAGAATACTAAGGGTTTTGGGGTGTTTTTTTTAAGTCATAAAGAATAGAAATAATCATTAAATATTCAAGTTTCTGTTTAAAGAATACCTTTGAATAAAAGTTTAGTTTATCTCCTTTTCACTACAGTCATATATGAATATCAGAACTTTTTGAATATCCATTGAGAGTGCTTATCATATGTATTAGAATTTTGTAAATGTAAATTAGACATTTTCAGTTGGTAGCATACTGTCAGACTGTCAAAGTATAGACTGTATATATTTTTACATAATCTTATAATATGTGTTAAAGTGTTGACAATATTTATCATATAAACTGCAACACAAGAGTTTAATAAAGCCATTTAATAAAAATGATTTTATACTAGTGTAATATTAACTTCACACAGCGTTATTTGCATTATATACACACACAAAGTGTAAAAGTGTGCTAATGTTAGCGTTATTCTATAGGCACATCAATGAAAAATTACTCTGAAACAGTTTGCCGTTCTTATTTTAAATATGTGAGTAAAAGAATATTATATTCATATAGATTCAATACTAAATTTATAAATTGATAAAAGAACATAATAAAACAATATTATGCTTGTCAGAGGATCGTATAATATGATTTTATTCAACTTGTTCAATAAATGTAGTATGAAACCTACACTCCTTCAATATCTTCTATTTATTATATAGCACCTTACAAAGTACATGTACCAAGATAAGAAAGTTGCCTTGATGCCAGAGTTAACCGATGACGAGAGTGAGATCACAGAACCCAAATCTCCATTTCTAGCAATGAGACCTAAGGTATTTGAGCCGCGTCACGACAAATCCAACATTATTGTGCGTTTGCGACCAGCATGGATCCAGACCAGCCTTCGCATCCGTGTGGTCTGATCAGGATTCATGCTGTCGCTTAAAACTCTATTACAAGTAGAGAAATC